AATAGTTTAATACTTCTAAATATATCCTCATCATTTTTTTCTACGGTTTCGACGATCTCCTAAGTCTTCAATTCGTTTCCCTTATTTTAACAATATTAAGAACTCAATTACATAAACTATGCAACTGCCGACAATGCATTGCAAAGTCGTTACCTAATTAGAGCTAAATATTCGGGCCAGGAATTATTCGAAGCCAATTAGAATTCTCCACAGATGTCTCGGAATCGCACGGAATGTCCCTTAACAGGTGTGCTTCTATTATCTACGTCTACCTACACCTTTCACTAAACTTTAAATGAAGAGTTATCATTTAAATACAACTGCCATTAGTCGAAATTATCAAAAAGCCACACACGTAGACATTACACATTATCGAAGATAAGAGAAGAAATCGAAACTTTTATAAACTACTTTTGACGATAAAATTTATATGGAGTTGGCTTAGAAGATAAACGTAACCAGATGTGATGAGATAGAATAGATAAAAGGTGTATGCATCTAAGATAAACGATTTTTTACAGATCTATATAATTGTTTGATATTTGATTTAAAAGAACGAGAATTCAAAAAAAAAAAAAACGCTTAAAGCTAAACTTCAGGAATGGAGAAAGGTTTGAAACAATCTTGAGTGAATCATCAGTAATTAGAAAACTATATTTTTGCACCAATTTTTTTATTATATTTTTAATATGATTATCAATATTGTGCTTTTATAGATATTTATGCTATTTATTAACATATACATTTTGCAAAAAAAAAACAAATTTTTATGAGCAATTTGTGACAACCAACATTTTTTTACACAACATTTTTTCTTTAACAATTTTAAACACTATTTTTTCTTATTCTTATACAAACTGACGTATAATGCCATAGAATTTTATTTTTGTTCTTGATTAATATTTTTTAATTTTAATTGTTAATTATCACATTTACAAAAAATTTAGAAAATAATTAAAAATACAAATGGGTTATATACAGGTGCTCTATAGTATTTCTAATCAATTGATACAATGATGTGTATAAAAAATAATTTATTCTATCTATCTACTCACATCTAAGTCGAAGAAAGTCGCCGAGAATAAATCTGTCATATCAATTTTCACTCTTTTTATTCTGCACTTTTTTCCGTGATTACATAAACCGTACTGATTCGATACTAATTACTTGATCGAACTGGCATCTTTGATATTTCTTTTAATAATATCCATTTTTATTACTGACATAATCGTATTAAAATGACCAAACCATTTCGTTTGACTTCATTCTTTAGCAATTCATAAAAATGTGCGGAACCGCCCGAGAACCCATTATTCACGTTTAGGTATGCTGTTTTTGAATTGCAGAATGTTGTTGAAGTAAAACATATCATATTTAATTTATAATTATATCATTTCATGAATTTTTTAAATGTTTTTGTCCTGACAGCAATCAAATCGTTGAGATTTCACGAATACTTTTTAGATGTATGATTTTTTCATTATGTTCAGTCAGAAGGAAATAGTTTGGCATAAAGTCAGAATTTCAGTGATTATTTAATAAGTGCTGTGTGATAAGTTTTTTGTATGTGATAAATTGAGGTATAAAAATTTAATTTGTAGTACTGCTGATAAGTAAATTATGAATGATTGGCATGAATGAAATATAATATGCCAAGAATATTTATTACGTGCACTACCTATACGATTTTCTATTTTGTTCATTATTTGTTTTAATCTATTCTTTATTTTTAAAATATAAGTACTTATAAATAAATTCAAAACGTCTCTAATTTAAAGTTACATTTAAATATATCCTCAAATTTTATTTCAGTAATGTATGCTCAAATGAGGAAATGTATGTAATGTTATTCCCTAGCTAATTAATATATAATAAATCTAATAGATATTAGGTTGTCAAATATCTCCCT